AATTCGGGGCCGTGAAGATTCGTGGGACTGGTTTACCTAAAAAAGAATGTAATTAATAGCGCATTATTTTAGACTGTCCTATTTTAGCCAAGAGGTAGTAGTGGCTTAACAAAAAGCCATAAATATTCGTACATCCCAACCGATTAGATTGTTCAGTCACAAGCATTATGCAGGATGCTCGATCAACATGCATCACGATTTTTGGAACTAAAATTCGATATATTTAGCAGGTTTTCGTGAATACATATGTGCGCTATTTTAATGCAACCACGTTCTACGTATCAACTGTTGATACATATAAATTTATTTCTGTAATAACAGCAAAATTTAGAATTTTAAATTTCCAAATATTTCTAATTACCCATGTATTAAACTGCGACTTTCCGTGATCGTTCCGTGATAGCGCATATAAATTTAATAAAAATTTTCCGTGATCGTTCCGTGATGGTTCGCCTAATCATAGGGATTAAGACGGCCCGCATTAAATTTTATGCGGTGTTACCTTAATGCATAATTACTTTCCCAACGTCTATTTTTTATTATTAACAGTTAACATATGAATAACTAGGCCCTTTTCTATTATATATGATTCCGCGATAAGAATGGGACTTAAAAAGGCCATAAGGGTAATGAGTATAACGTTCTTAATCAGTGGTTTTGTCAAAATTCATATGTTACAGGGATTTTGAATTCTCAGATCGGCGAGATCGTTGACTTTTTCACTTCGTAGTACCGATCGTTGATTCTAAAGGGGTTTTAATTTTTAGTAAAAAAAAAACGGCAAAATATATTCAGTATTTGGAGCCTATAACCGAACGGAGTTGCTTTGTTAAGTGTGATCTGGTATTGTGTTAGAGTAACGTAATTACTAATCTTGTAATTTTCCTTCTGGCAGGTTCTCTAGATCTAACGAGTATGAAGTATAAAATAAGCGATTTTTTTTGTTTCTTGTAGGTGGGTTATAATAATATTTTTTTGTCAATACATATTTTTTGCCCGTTCATAATTTATTTTTAAAGTAATATATTATACCATTTAATAGTCTATAAAAACGAAACTTTACTTACTATATTTTTTTTATTTAGAATGTCCACTAACGATAATACTACCCCCACAACCAATGATACCACCCCCACGACTGACACCACTACCACTACCACCATTACCACCACCTATGACACTATCACTCCCATGACTAATAACCCGACGCCATCTAAACCAAAACCTACAGAAACTATTCTAATTAGTAAGAAAACTCTATCTATTTGTTTTGCCAACTTTACTAAAGCGATATTTTTCAGAATTAAGTTTTTTATTTCATTAATATTAGGAAAACATGAAGAAATACGAAAAGATGGAACAAAGATAACTGATAGTGTAACTTTGAAAACCAAATCTAATGATGGTTCATTACTTCGAAAATTTCTAAACGAAAAATAAATATAATTTCTTTATTTGTATAATGTCAGTTCGGCAAAAAAATATTAAATAAAGAAGGGGCCCTCGTTGGGTCCTAATCTTTTATTTTTACATGCTTTTTTTACATGATTTTTTACAATGTAATTTGCGATTAGTGGAGACTATTGAGTTAACTTTATTATTCTATGCTCTTACGGTTACTATTGGGATTCCAGCATCGCGTGTTAATATGCGCTAATTAAACGATCTGAATTTTTATAAGTTTTTTTCCCACTACTTAAATCATAGTAATAGTCTGGTTCATCATCATCAGAACAAGTGAAATTCTCATTATCGTCATTATCCTCGTCTTCATCATCCTCATCACCAAAATACATATCATCGTAGATATTTACCTTAGCTGGAGTTACTACATTTGATGTCGCCTTGTTCTGTCTTTCTTTCTCTATCCTAGCCTCTTCTTCCTCGAAAGCTTCCATGATAATTTTGTCAAAGTCATCCTCAGCCCGTGTTGCTGAAACCAAGGGTTTTGCTTGCTCCTCCAATATATTATCCTGATCATTCGAAATCTCCTCTTCGGAATCGATAATAAGGCCTCCCCGATCATCTGGTAATTCAGTATTGGGATTTTCAGTGAAATAATCAATAATAGTTTGAATTTGACTATCAGATAATTCCGATATAGAATTTGCACTATACGTTGTGATATATTTGATTTTATCAATTCCTATTTTCTCAAATAGTTTGTATATGCTTCTTGCTCTCTGAGTTTGTTTTAGTAATGTGTTACGTTTAGTACCAAGTTGCGCAATAATAAAATCATAGATTTGCCCTTTCGCTTTTTTCTCACCAATTCGTTTAATTTTCATAACATTTTTTACTTGATTATCGAACTCTATAACATAATGATACCAACATAAAATTTCATCTTGATTGGCCCTAATTCTTTGCTTTTCCGCATCGCAAGCTTTCTGATATAAACAGGCTAAATTTAGTAATGGTTTGCTTTTCGCTACAGATAGCATAACTACGGAATTTTTTTCGGTATTTTCAGTGACGGGAAGTCATGGAAATTTTAGTCATATGATTTTTCTCAGTTACCGAAGTAGCTGTGAAATCAAATGCATCCTGTACAATATTCTCCGCTTCCCTCTTCTTATGTGATTGAGAGTTTTTGTCCTTCGTTACAGAAGAAATGTCCACTTTAGTAAACCCAGATAAGTCCTGGGTAGCTGACTCACGTAATAATTTATTTTCTCTATTTCTCTGCATAATCTCATTACTAACCTTTTTCTTATGCACTTCATCTAAGAAAGAATCTGTTTTCTTATCTTCCGATGACTTGATGTCTGCGTTATTACTAGATGTTCCATTTATGGACTGACCCATTACAGGATCAGGTATATCATGCGAAGCGAAGCGCCTCTCGGGCTCAGCATCTGGCTGTGGTACAACTGTTACCTCTGATATCTTTTCTTCTCCAGAGCACGAGTTCTGCGCGTTAGTAACGTGCTGTGGTTGCTGAAGCCTCGTGAGATTGGAGGAATCGAAATCATGTCTTAATTTGACTAATTCAGCTTTGAGCTCTGCATTCTCGGCTGAAATATCTGCACTATTTTTCTCCAATTCCTCGATTCTGATCTTGTGCTCGGCATTCTCAGCATCACGCCTAGCATTCTCCTCAATAATCCGTCTCAATTTCGCATTCTCATTCTTAAGTTCTCCATTCTCACCTTCGATCTCAGCAACCTTCTTCCTAAGCTCACAAATCTCAACTAAGAGCTTGGCATTTAATTCTCTTAATGAATCGTTGGATTGAGTGCTTGACATGATTAATAAAATTTTATACAAGAATGTGAATTATTCAATATTATGTTGCGAATGTAAAGACGAACTTTATTAATACAGAAATAAAAAACAAATACAAAGTCAGTTGACTTTGTCAACCTGATACATGACAAATTTTCTATGCTAATACATGCGAAAAATAAATACAAATGTTCGGGACTAGCCCGTGATACATATTATTTTTTTGATAAATTCACGAAATACACATGCAAAAGTAAACGCGATTATGTATGCGAAATCAGCCACCAGGGCCAGCTTTATTGATGCGGTAAAAACAAAAAATAAAGTGCATAATAAAAACATTGCAGATCATGCAATTTAATAATGACTACAATTATAGAATACTTTAATGATCTTTCCTATACATAAGCTATTTTATATTTCTCAATTATTCATATAAATAAGTAATCACAAAGTATTCAATGGCTACATCACAAGGATACTACAGAATATAAATCCCAATATATACACAATTTCTACCGAGTTGGTAAATAAAACTTTATTTTATATTTAATTAGTCAATGGGCGAGAGTATCCAGAATACCCCGATGGAGACGGTGAAGGTGGATCGTTATCATTACTATCACCATGATCATTAGGTGTAAGAGAATGAGGATTTATTGTTCGAGCTCTTTTACCGGTTGGATTCAATGGTGAACTCTCGTTTACATTACTAACATAGTCTTTCAATATCGACGACCGTGAATGCAATGCGGTATTGCGACGATGTGATTTTTTAAATTCTTCGAGTAGCTTAAAGGAGTTATCTAAGCCTCTCTGCAAAAAAAATAATCAGAATAGGGCTTTTTTAATATAAGGGACGCATTCAAATTTTACTTACTCCCAAATTCCATAAAATTCTTAATGCATGCACCAATTCATAATGTTCATCCCAATTAATTGGCAAATAGAATGTACCAATTAAAAACATTCTATAAACTTTTGAAACGGGCAGATCCATTCCCCACACCTGTACCTCTTGTCCTGTATGCATAAATAAAAAAATAATTTATTTGCCTTATAAATTAAAATACCGAGTTTATCTATCAACTTACCATGTATGTGAAAGAACCATGTACGTAACTTTCTCAAAATTTTATAATCTCCGCGATTGTATTTTTTCACAATATCATTTAGAATATCACGACACCCCCAACAACCTTTAACATGGTCTTTTACATATCGAGGCATGTCCGAAGTCAAATAACCACCCGATAACTCAACCATTCCAATTTCAAGTCCTTTATTTCCTGGGGTATGAAATATACCGTCCACCTTCATACCTAAAGGTTTGTCGTCTTCAGATTTTAAATTACGCCTCAATAATCTTTGATTAGCATTTGCTTTTAGATAAACTTCACCACTATTTTATTTGTTTGAAAAAAGGGGGTTTAATGCTTTCAAGAAAATGAAATGTAATCAAATATAATTCTAGATTAACATACGGAATATATGTAATACGGTCGGTTGTATTCATGAGGTACTGTAATATTGGGTGAATCATTGATGATCCTAAAAGCGCCTCGTTTTTATGTATACCGTGAAAAGCAGATGCGGTATTAAATATATTATTGGTACTTCAAAATTAATCAATAAATATTAAATAAATAAAATATCTGAGATTAATTCTAATGAATTACTATTAGGACACTTACAACCACCAAAGAACATCTGTAACAAATTCCATTTCTGCATCGATATCATTTTTATATTTTGCTTCACGAATGACTTTCTTATATTCGGTTAAAGAGTCCTATCATTAAAAATTGTTAATAAAATTTTTATTTAAAAAAATCACAATATCGAGTTACACTCACAGTATCTAAAAGTAACTTTAGTAATTCTTCTGTGTTAGATGACAATTTAAAGTGTGGGAATTCGACACTTGAAGTCAAATAGTTCCAATCTTTATCCTCTATCCATTCGGGCTTACGAACTTTGGCACCAATACGTATTATTCCAAAATGTGACGGACTAAAGTATAAACAATAACAATTGTATATATGAAATTGGAAGGTGAGATAAAAGAAAATCTAAATCTACAACTTACTGTGATTTGTGAAGATTCTTTTGTCCATAGATTATACTTCTTACTGATTTTCCTGAAGGTAAGAGCCAATCATCTTTCGGACTATCTACATTCGGATATTTTTGTACGGGAGACTCACTACCAGATTCTACCTCATTGATATCTGATTCTTCATCACTTAGCGGATAAAAATCCGAAATTTCATTTTCTCCAATATTTATATCATTATTAAGCTCCAAATCTTCCAAATCCGTTGATTTTATATTGTTGTTATTTGAACCTCCATTTAATTCCAAATTTTCTTTATCGGCATCCCACTTTCTTTTTAAATTTTTTGGTTGGATATATACAATTGGTACTTCCTTTTTCTGTAAATACATTTGATGTTATCACTTTTTTTTGCCAAATAGCTTTAACAAAATTACATATAAACAATCGTGTACTACCTCCGTATTAATATTTCTCACACCGTCTTCAGTTCCCTTCGTAATATCGCATGCAAAATTTATCTATATTTAAAATAATCGTTAGACAAAAGTATGTGATCGTGTGGTGTTATTAACTTAAAGTTAATAACTATTCTTACATCTTTACAATCATTATTGTTGACTTGAGTCGCAGAATCAGTTGCAAGCCGATCTATCTAATTGATGAAATACTATTCAATATTTTTGTCTTATAAAATTTCAGAATAGGAACTCACCTGTAAATGTCCAATTTTCACACATGTATGCGAATCTAGATCTGAATCTGAACTCTTTGGTGAAGACCAATTCTTTGCGAATAAGGTTCGGAATTAGTAATAAGAAATTTCACAATAGCGAAAACTTCCAGATATAAAAATAACAGCTTGCGCGAAGTGTCGAACTAAAAGCTCATCACTGTAGACAAAGAGTCCAGCTTGCACTAAGCGTCGAACAAAGAGTTCATAACTGTTCGAAGGCTAAATTCCTTTCAGACAAGGAGTCCCAGCTTGCACTAAGTGTCGAACAAAGAGTTCATCACTGGCGACAAAGAGTCCCAGCTTGCACGAAGCGTCGAACAAAGAGTTCATGGCTGTTTCAGAATAAGCCCCTTAACTATTCCAATAGTACATTACCTTCCAATTATCAAGAATTTTTTGTGCTTTATTTTTACGCAATATATCGAAATCAACATCAGAATTTAATATTTTTCCGATATCTTTTTTTATGTAATCAAGTACTTTCTTCCTTTCTTTTTCCCCCGTTTTTTCTTGATAATAATTCGTAATATTAGCACAAGTCCAGTCCTCAATCGCTGTAACATGATAGAAAGCCATGAGAATGGATGTTGATTGCGTGGACATTATTTTTTTCATCTAAGTTTATGTTTACTGTATATTATTTTTTTCATCTAAGTTTATGTTTACTGTATATGAATTTTTGAACGTTTATTTGATGTGATCATCACTTTTTGTGTAACCAAAGAAAGGTACATATAAATCTCTTATTTCTGTATTTATTATTTTTCTCACATGCTTTGCTTTTACCTTCAACTAAGTAGTCTTATTCAAAAACAAGGTTAACTTGCTTACACTGTGGTAAATATTTTCCTGATTACATCTTTCGATTATAAGCGATTATACTAGCAATATGAACTTCTCTTGAGCTTAACATAAACCGAATTCGTTTTATGTTGATTGAACTTAGAATAAAACGAGTTTAGTTTATGTTGAACTTTTTTTTGACAAAAAATGCAGGTAAAAATGGCGGGTTTCTTCAACAAAATCAGAACCATAATTTACCATGTAAAATATCCAGTATTTTACATTCCACGCAATAAAAATTTGATTTATGCCCCCGGTATATTATATAGTGTTTGGTGTATTATATGAGGTATTTTATATAGAGTGTATATATGTTTTAATGTCACAAACCTTACACCCGTGTTTCCACCCTCTAAAGATATGATATATTTTTTTTTTTATTCGCGAGTATATATTTTATCGTTATATATTAACAGAAAAAAATAATATATATACGTGGCTAAAATTTATTATAATAAACCTGTAATGTGTGGCACTTTGTGGTCCGGAGTAAATTCTCCACAAAATGAAGAATAGATGTGGCATGAGTTAATTGACCGACTTTGGTTAGGGTACTAATTCCTGAAAAATAAAAAAATGGCGATTTCTACTTGTGCCCCATCTCACAAATAAGTTATGCATAACGAAGGTGATACAGATAAATTTATACGTATGCGAAATTTATTCTAACACGTTATCGCATTCACATCGCTTATATATTCCATTCGCCACCTTTTTGCATGTTTTGCAATATAGGTGTGAATGATGATTGCATTCGTCACAAACCTTACACCCATGCTTCCATCCTCTAAAGATATGCCACTTTTCGAAGTAATTTTGTTTGTTTTTATATGTAGGTATGCTATTCTGATCTTTCATTGTGATATATTAACCGAAGAAAAAATAATTTATACGTGCTATTTTTTTTATACAATACAAACCTGTAATATGTAGCACTTGTGTTTGTGCCCACAAATAAATTATGCATAAGCCTTGTAAGGTGATACGGATAAATTTCGTGGAATTTATTCTAACAGGTTATTGAATATTTAATGTTAATTATTCGAGAATTTCGAAATGCAATAAGAATAATAACCGCATATACTGTATATTCACTTGAAATTTATATCATATGGGGGTGTTCCGAGTCAGAACAGTATCACATGATATATCACGCGATGTGGCGCAGTAGGCACGTTTATTAGTTAAATTATCGGAGAATTACACAGGAAAATTTTTTATGATATATGAAACTTCATCTCTAGTTAGATCAGAAAAACTGGATGCAGTAAAAGATCTAATATTCTTGATTTTATCTTCTCCGATTTTACTAAATATATCATAAATTTTTCTAGCCATATCTGTTCTTTTACGCACTATAGCATCTTTAGTTTTTTCCGGAAGCTTTTCCTTAACTTCTTTATTTAACTTTGTATGCGCTGTCTGTGGGGGGTTGTTCTTGAGCAATACAGCAAGTCGTTCTGATAGAGCTCTCCCAAACCGAAAGTAGCATTGAACTACCTCCTGGTTTTCTTGATCCCCCTTCTTTTCAGCAATATCAACGTCGTAGTATAGTTTATGGAATTGATTAGAAATTTCACCAATATTGGTAGTTTCAGAAGGAGCGCTGATTGATGGTCCACTGCTAGTTGAAGCAACAGATAACTCTCGAATAATTGCTTTGGGTTTTGTGGCCCTTTTAGATTTACTTTTATGAGTATCTTTTTCTTGCATCTTCCTTTTTTTCTTGGGTGTTTCGTTGGCTAAAACAATAGGCGAGATATAATATCCTTCTTTTTCCAGATCATCAATAGATGGACATTCAGGACATAGCTTACGCTTATTGTCAATACATTCGAAATGCACAACGTGGTTACATGGCAATAATATGACTGGCTTCAAAATTTCCGGGGAGATTACTTCAGAACACTTGGAACAATTCCTGGATTCAATCTGAGAGGCATCTTTGTTTTTGGTAAGATCCACATAATTTGGATATATTGTTGGGTTATATGCTAAGGTAGGGTTAAAAATAAGAGTTGTATCTGGGGTTATTGTATTCTGGCTTTGACTGGATGTCATTTGTGGCGAAATTTGCATTGGGT